TATATAATATATATATATATATATTATTTATTTATATATATTATACATTTATAAATTTATATTATTTATTATATAGAGTATATAATAAATAAGAATTAGTATGTACCCCCGACAATGTAAAGCGCTTTGAGTGCCTAGAAAAGCGCTATATAAATTGAATTGAATGAATAAATAAAAGTTACCTGTACCTAAAATAGGCACTAGTATCTAATGAATAAGTACAAGCATCTAAAAAGTGACTAGTATGCCTAGCTAAAAAAAAAAAAAAAGCATTAGTAGCCAAATAATAGGAACTAGTAGCCAACAAATAAGCACCAGCACCTAATGGGAAAGATACTAGTAGTTAAAGAAGAAGTACTGGTAGCATGGAAATAGAAAGTGTTAGCATTAAATGTTAAGCCGGCTTGTCATACACACGTCTTATATACACGGAGTCTTACTGAGAGCGGATCCTGCAGCAGCTGAAGCACTCGAGAGAGATCGGTGACCCTCACAGCCTCAGACTGCAGCCTGCAGCCTGCATATTTATATATGTTATACTTAGTCTGACCAGAGGGGAGAAAATGTCTACCAGAAAATCACACTGGCCAAGCTCGTATTTGCTCGTATATTGCTCACCAAATATTTCACATTCTAGGAAATGTGTCTAGGATGTTTTAAACTAATTAAGACCATTACTAGCTGGGAAATAACACCATGCTAGCTGAAATTTAGGATTAACAATTTAGGTAGAATTTAAATAAATATATCAAGTCAGTTTAAAGAAATGAAAAAAAAAAAAAATTTGCATTTTCATGCCCAGTAATAATTGACTCTGCAGAGTGGACATGTTATGTATTACGCCATTAAGTCTTCTGAAAATGCGGAAAAGAGAGAAAAGTACAGCGAGTAAAATAAGTATTGAACACGTCACCATTTTTCTCTGTAAATATATTTCTAAAGGTGCTGTTGACATGAAATGTTCACCAGATATCGATAACAACCCGAGTAATCCATAATCCATACATACAAAGAAAACAAAACAAATAAGTTCAGAAATTAAGTTCTGTGTAATAAAATGGAATGACACAGGGAAAAAGTATTGAACACATGAAGAAAGGGA